CCCATTTTTTTTGCGTGGATACGCCTCTGGCCGACATGCACACTGTTAAGTGCCGTGTGCTGCTGCGCTCTCACGGCGTTTTGCGGAACTATGGCCTATAGATTCTGAAGGATTGTGCAGATTGGCAGTGATTTTGTAGGGATTTGAAGAGATCGGCGTAAGATTGGAATGGATTGGCGAGGATTGGGGAAGGATTGGAGAGAATTTGCGGAGGATTTGAATGGATTGGAGACCAATTTTGGCAGGATTAAATTGATTGCGTTTTGTATGGTCGGCTTGATTCGTTGGCTTGGGGAAGATTGTTGAGGATGTTAGAGAATCACAGTGAGATTTAGGGAGGTCGCAGGAAGGATTCTAGGAAATTTAAGGACATTTTGATGGATTTTAGTAGTTTTGGGGATAACAGGGATTTGAAAGATTGGAAGGGATTGGGGACGGATTGCAAAGGGATTGCTGTAGTAAGCGTACAGGGATTTTCGAAGTTATGCACCCCTCGATGCAATCCCATGATGTTTCATACGCATAAGACTGGGTTGTTGATTTTGCCTTTGTTTCATAACTGCTAGGCACCGGTACCGGATTGTAATGGCACAATAGAACTATGTAGTAAGAATGAATTTAGAAGAGCCAAAAATGATTTTTGAACAGTGGAATAAAAGGTTTGACGTAGAATCGCGCGACCAATCAACACGATTTTCTTTCGTGTCACACTTCGCCGATTGTGTGAATTCAGTTTCATGCTGTCATGGCCAGCGGTTACACGCAATGTTTTGATATCCTCCATGGTGTGTCCGGTGCAGTTCGAACTGGCGGCTCTGAAAGTCATTTTCAAAAATCACGTTTGGCCAACTTTTGTGACGAGACTCACTCTGCTTTACCTCGGTCCGGTTGCCGTGAAATATGAGGCTGATTTATGATTTATCAGAATAACTTTTACAGTTACAACGTCCCGAACCCAGCCACGAACAAGGCGAGAAATAAGGTGAGGGGCCCAGTAGTGGACAGTAAAAGAGCAAAAAGGCTTACCGGAAACGTCTGCCACAAATCAAGAAAAGAGTGCCTGAGGGAAAATTTAAGACTGTCGGAGAGAGAGATTAAACAGGATGCCCCATGCGTCAGCACTGTGACGAAACTACTTTTGGTTCTAATAACAGTGAGCCACACAAAACATCATGCATTGGCTTAGTGCTCGACCCCTTTGACCCAGTAGTCGACACCCTTAGATTTTACTTAGGGTAAGGTTAAGGTGCCCTATTGTGGCCACTGTCCCATTGATGGCCACTTTTCTCGATTTCCAGCAAATCTGGTCCCTTCGAAATCTTGGCCTTGAAGTAGTGTTCTAGTAAGGTTCCTACTTGCACAGAATAAGCCAAACTTTTTCACATCGTTACCTACATTACAAGAAAAAGGGGTGCGGCCATCATTGGGCAGGCCCATTCTTAAGGCGGTAGGACCGCACGGCCAGTGGAACGGCTGCGTATTAAATGTATTGGTGGCGTCCGAACTACAAGGGGGTGTGGGGGAGGCAGGTCTGGGCTGTGACCAGATGTTGATGGCAACAGCGGCCGTTGATTCCTATCAACGAAGATATCACGGCTTGAAGCCAACGGTGCAGATAAAAGCTGAAAAGAAGATCGGACAGCCGTGCGGACAGCGTTGAACGGCGCGCCAGGAGAACGAACTTTGTTGAACGGCGCGCCCGGAGATCGGACACCTAGCAATTTCGTTGCTATATGCAAATAAGACGGTTCCTTTTGATACACACAGCCTCAGACTACCCCAGAAGCTTATGTTACACACTGCCCCAAGGCAGGCCAAGGCACACAGCCTGTTTTGTGGCCTCGTCGGGCCTCGTAGGCCGAGAGTCCTCGAGGTTATGTCAGTGATAACGATCACTTTCCAAGTGATAAGGGCGAGCCGCCCGGTGAGCCTGCACATTACGGTCAAGGGAAGACCAAAGATCATCTTCTTCCGCCTGCGTGGGGGGGGGCTGCTCTTCGGCGGGCTCCTCAAAGTCTGGAGCTGCCATCTTAGCTCTCATGAGATTTGCTGGAAAAGAAAGGAAATGGTTAATATTAAGACTGCGTGACGACAAAGGCGAGGGAATTCCCACAAACAGCTGCTCACCAAGGTGGCTAGTTGCATGTTTTAGTGCATCTTTATTTTTGAATGGTAGGGCCTTAAACCGAGGGTCAATGAGAGTTGTCACCGAAAATATCTTCCCAAATTCAAGTGTCCCGAAATTGGTTTTGATGTCTTCTATTTCTTCATTGCTAAGCATGCAAGGTGGTGTAGCTTTTGTACTTTTTTCCCTATGAACCTTCATCAATGTTAAGGTGACATAGTCAGATAGCTTAAGGAACCTCTCTACCATTTCGT